ACCCATTTGTCTTCAGTGATCCGTTCGACACCCCGTGATCACACATGTTGATATGTTGTTCCATATGGGCTTTAAAAACATACTCCTTACTTGATAAATTCCATAAAGAAAACTCCTCCTTTGACACTGAGCACCCTCCAGGCTTTTCTACGGCAACACCCACACCCAGCACGTGGAGATTGGTTGCTGCCAACTCACTTCCAACCCGGAGAGACTTTATGTTCAATGGAAGGAAAACACTGCCCAGTCCTGCACAATCCTCAAAATCTCTGTTATGCCTGAGCCCTTTGCTGCAGCCACTGTGTCAATCCATCACTTTAAGGGCTTCCCTCTTTTCCCCTGATCAAGCTTAGTGTCCCTTTTTCCATATACTGGCCCCTCCTGACGTGTCCAAAATAGATGAGACGAAGTCTCACCATTGTGTTTCCTCTGGCTGTCCATGGTATACTCAATACTCTGCCAACACCATAATTCAAATGCATAACAATATTTCAGTCTTCCTTGTTCAATTTCCAATGGATATCATTAGAGAATGCTGAGGACTTAATCAAGTCCCAAATATATATCTTGCCTATTGTGGGGGAAAGTTGTCAGACATCAAACCGATATATGTGATGTTAGCAATTGGTATAAGGACTTTATGTTCTGAGTGTGAGTCTCATGGGACAGCCACCAATATGACACCTAAGTCATGAACGTATGCTGGAGCCCATCATTGTCATGGGCGTCATTTGTCCCTTCAAAACAGCACATAGTTCTCAATCTCAGTCAGCCTTCTCCGTGAGCAGGTAAGGACATCCCACAAATAAGAACCTCTGATGGTATTTCGAGTCAGTTATCTGTAGAACCATGCTTTATTATTCCTTCTGCCACAGATATATTGTCCTACTGAAACCATGAATGTGAACGTGCAGCCACCTTACAAAGTCAGTGGCAGGGTCTCATGACTGAGGGTGTATGCCCAAATTCATCCAGCCCATCTTTGGCATTTATCACCCACAGCAGACACTGCCTTTGAGAATGTGACATATTCTGGCTTATCAGATCATTAATGGAGTCCCAGTGGCACTGTGGGTTGAACACTGGGCTGCTAACTGCAAGGCCAGTGGTTCAAACCCACCTCAGGAGAATGATGAGGCTCTCTGCTCCTATAAACACCTACCATCTCAGAAGCCCCATGCAGGGTCAATGTGAGTCGGTGGGCCCGATGGCAGTGGGCCATGAATGTCTGCAGCATAGCTTGTTCCTCTGCAGTCAAAATTATCTTTTGAATCGATTGGACTCCTTTAGTCTCCAATTCTAGTTTATGACTGTTGGTTCCTTCTAAAGTTCTGACCAATCCAAAATTGGTCCAAAATTGACTCCACCCCCCTTCCTTTCTTGAGAGTGTACATATTGTCATTCAAGAACATCCTCAGTGTTTGCCGCCAGCCCTGTAGCATCCACACACTTACAGAATGCGCAGTTTCCTTCCCAAGCAAACACTTGTTTTCCAGTCATGGATTTCGAGGTACCATGGAGTATTTTCAGCCTTCATGTTGGCAACGTTAACTGTTGTCGAGCTGGGTACCCACACACTTGGGACACTGACAGATGTTCCTATCAGTTGACTCATCTCTCTTCTCCCCTCTGCATTCTGAGGGTTGGTGCAACACCAGTACAGGGCGCCGGGAGAGCCAATAACAAACAAGAGCCTGCTCTCAACATCAGGGTTGCAATGCCTCGGTTGAAGCTGCTATCCCAGTAAAGTCCAGTTTATTTGAACGTATGCTCTGGATGACTTCTCCTTAACAACATGGAACCTAATGCCCTTTATTTTCTGCCCGTTCCATTTCCTGGGTGCAGATGCTCTGAACCTCCGAAACCGACAGGTCATCTGTGTCACGCTCAAGGTCCTCCAGCATCTGGTTGTGTCCGCCGAGATGGTGGGAGAAGCGCTGGTGCCGTATTACCGCCAGATCCTGCCCATCCTGAACATCTTCAAGAACATGAACGGTGAGTCGTCCCCAGGCCCAGGTGGCCCCAGACCCTCTGAAAGGAGGATCCGGGAGCAAAGTGAAATCAGCAGCGCTTTTAGGATTTATTGTTGCACATAAACCAGGACCCATTTGGTCCTCTCAGTAGCATAACTCCCACCCCTTCTCCTTCAACTCCCTTGGGAAATAGTAAAATGAACAATTTCATTTATTACTTACTCCCCACACGGCCAGCGTCCTTACTGGGCAGAGAAGCACTGAAGCAGTTCTTTAATCTTCCAATAATTAAATTGTAAACTTTTTCTAATAGTGTCTTGAATACATTAGTGAGCTTTCAGTTGACCCCTTTTCTTACTGACGAGCCCGCTTCGTGCACATCCTGTGAAAACCCCCTCTAGGTGTTTGCGTTCATTGGCTTCAGGTCATTTTTTAAGCAATACTGTTACAATCTAGGGCAGGCGATTTAGAAAGGCGCCATGGATATAGCCTCTTGTTTCTGGAAAAGAAAAAAGAAACATTTGCAGTTGCTGATGGGTGCTTATTGATGATGGATCAAATATACAGATAGCATATCCACTGGTGTTTTCTTCCAGGTGTTATTCTGTCAGCTGTGGGAAGGATGGATGGGCTCATATGGGTCTGTTTCGACCCGACCACAGTACTGTAGAGTTTGGGGAACTTCTTGGCATGCGCAGTGTGCTTTCATCTGTTAACTTCAAGAGCGTGGTTTTCCTCACGCGCCTCTCCAAGCGATGTGAATCTAATTTCCTTTTAAAGTTGCTAACTTTGAAGTTGCAGACTTCTCACATGATGATGGAAGTCAACATGTGAAGTTAATTCTTGACAGCCGTGTGAAAATGGGAGTAATTTGGTGGAACACTGCATGAGCATTTTGCAACACAATCTGCTCTTTGTACAATACAGGGACAGGGGCGAGGGCGAAAACAAGACGGTGGGTGTGCGCGGCCGTCCCCCACCAACACACCCCTGGTCTGGCACCGCCGTTCTTCCTCTTCCCCCAGAACCGGTATTCCAGTTCACCTTCTGCAGACGTCCACTGCTCGGGAACCCAGGGCATTCTCAGAAGGTCCTCAGCTGCCTTTCGGTCCTGGGGACCTAACTCTAGTCTACCTCCGTGCACGGTTAGGAACTGGGAGTCGGAGCGTCGAAGGCTGCGGGGCAGTGCGCCCAGAGCCAGTCCAAAATGCGTGCGCGCAGGCGCGCAGCCAAGGTGGTCACGCCTTCAGCATCCCAAACGTTGGGATGCAGTCACGGTCGTGTCGCCCACTGAATATTCTTCCTTCACAGGAAGCATGTGCTTAAACATTTTTCTTTCGTACTTCGGGGTCTTAATGTTTCTACAATCAAGACACTTCTTTCTGCTTGTCCATCGTGGAAGCTGTGTGCTGAACCATATCACTGAGCCTTGCTTGAGCGGCTTGTCTTAGGGAGGACACCACACGCCCAGGGAGCTGTGGGTGGACCCCACCCTGTGCTCGTCGTCTGAGCTAACGGTTCATGAAAGAAGCTCTAGGTTCACTCATGAACTTGCACTTCAGTTAACCTGATGGAGAGGTAGAGATGTGGATTTCACAAAGCTACGTTAAGTTACGGGACAGCCCATCCCTACCAAAGTCTCAAGAATTAGCCAGCATTTCTGGAGAGTGTGGTTCGCAATATGGCCTTAGCAATGCTCACAGAAGCCAGTAGTGCGCGTATTCTTAGTGGTGGTCTTCCAACGCGGAGCGACCACGGAGAACAGAGCAGACCCCTGTCCGACCCTGCGCACCCTCACAACCATTCCTCTGTTGGAGCGCCTTGTGGTTCGCGCTGGCCAACTACTCAAGGGGCTTCCTGGGTATTCTTTGTTTTGTTTTAGCTTCTCTGCTACTTGACCAAGCATGGTGTCCGGTCCGAGGACCAGGCCCTCCTAATGACACATTCAAAGTACATGAACTGAAATCCCACCATCCTCACGCCTGGCTGTAGTTCTTCCAAGACAGAGAGGTTTGTTGTTCTTCGGGAAGTTCATGGCATAATCAGTGTTCTTCACCAGCACCGGAATTCAAAGACAAATATTTTTTCAGTGCTCCTATTACTTTTCTTATATGCTGAACTATATATATATATATATACATATATATATATATGTATGTATGTGTGTATATATATATACATACACACATACTGTTTACATGTACTATTACATGTACTATTTACATATAGACCATATTTATCTGTATCATTTTAAATTTTAATAAACTTATTGACGTATAATTCAAATATTATACAATCCTATAGCTTAAAAATATTGCAAAGTGCCTTGCAAGCATCGCCACAGATCAATGTTAGAACATGTTCTTCTCCTTGGTGCTCAGTGTCATTAGCTCCCCGTTTCCCCCAGTCTCCTCTGCCATAGCCCCAAGAACCTATGAACCCAGTTGCTTTTCTCTAAACTTACCTATCCTAGATTTTATATAAAGGAAGATGTACAGAAACAAAAAAATCAGCAATGACAACATAAAACAGAGAAAACCCTATATGTACTATTTATGTTTATTATTTGTATATAAGATATATATGATAGATATATTAAATTCCACACCCATACATTATTGCTGTTATCATTTGACTGTGGCAAAAGTTGTCTCTTTTTCTCTTCTAAAAACATTTCTCCCTAGAGGCGTTGCAGCATGGCCACCCTGTCACAGCTGTGTTATTAGAGGACAAGAGCAGAGGGCTATGTCTAGGCTCAGGGGTCTGACATGAACCACCTGACTGACTGCTAGCCCCACAGTCCTATTGAAAAAAAACCAAAACATTTCTCCTATACTTGTATGTTGCGGAAGATGTGTGCTGAAACACACTACTATTCTTTGCCTGAGTATTTAGTAGAAGGTAGGTAGCATGCTATTAACTGATGCTTTCGTTGACACAACAGAACTGAGACCGCGAATCTCAGGCTCATTTTGTAGATGAAAGAAAGCCGTGGTATTGTCCAGAGTGTGGGACTCTCCTCCATTCTCTAGGAAAGCTCTAAGAAAGAGTTAGTACTGCTGGGTAGAGATGGATGAAGCAAAACAAGTAGTTTCTATAACGTTCTCATTAGGTGTTTTTTTTTTCCTTAGCTATTTAGCTCAAAAAATTCTCACATGCCCATCGAAATGCATGGTGGACTTTAGGGACACAATCACTATTTATACTTTCTCTCTGTGAGGAGTTCCTGGTTTATACTCCAGCCCTTAGTGGGTCTCAAGCATCTTTAAGTCTTTTGGAATGTCTCTAAATGCATGCACCAGGAATTCTACACTCGAATTATTCTTCCTACTTAATATCCTTCTGACATTTGAGGGGAAGATATTAGTTTCAGCTTCATTTTCTACTTATCTCACAAACCTGTCAGTTCACAGCCAAGATGAAGTTTCCTCATTTCCAGAGAGACCTTTTTCCAAAATTGGAGGCTTCTAGTGATGAAAACTTAAAGCTGTTCTTCAAAGTGGCTGTGTACCACAGATGTAATTCCTCCGGAAGAGGCTTATCACTGGATTTCCAGCCACGACACTGCTTTTGCTATAAAAATAACATGGCGCTAATAACATTTTACTAAATACTGTTTTAGGATTATAGATTTTAGCCATACTCACAGAACCATATATACTTACTTTATTCAAGTAGATGGCTTTATTAACATATATCAAGGGACTTCAGAAAGTGTGTGGAAAATGGTATTAAAAGATAATGGAATTTTCCACAAACATTTGAAGCCTCCTCATATATTTGCTTATAATTGAAATGATGCTTGAAATTTATGGCATGTAGCAGTAAGAAGGGGTGGGAAACCACTCTCAATCTTAGCATCTTTGAGAAGCGTTTCACCTAGTTCTCTAGTTCTTCTCCCCCTTGCCTGTTTTTTTCCCCGTAAACCAATATCTTGCTAAATTCAGATTCAGACTGATTTCCTTCAAACCCCACCGTGAAATCCTTTTTTTAGAATGAGATCAGATGTAAAAGGCAGAGATAAAGGGTGAATGAGAGACTATTCTTTCAAGTAGAACGAAGCTGGCCCTCTCCACTCAATGTTTGCACACATCCCAAGATTGACCTTGATAGTCTTGTTTGTCTGCTTGTGTTGTCTGTCCTGGTATACGCATAATTTTATGTCAAGGGAACTCTCTCTGAAGTGAGCCATGAGGACTGGGGAAACATTTCAGGAATCACCATTAGGAAGAACCCAAGACTGTGGTCTTTCCAGGGGAAGCAAAGGAAGTAGAGTGGGGGCAGGGAGGAGTCCAGGGACCTGACCGCTCCTACTTCTGTCTGCAGACACTCTCTCAGGTCTTACACGGTCATCATGCTTCTAAGAGGAAGAGGAACTTTCTGTTTTGTTTATTTTTAATATTCTTTGTGAATAGCATGTTTCCATGATTTATTTAGGTTATAGTTTGTTTGTTTTTTTAAGAGAACTAAATAAATCCAAGTTGTGAGCTGTAACAGGCAATGAAGAATAGCATATTGAAGCCAGAAGACACTCGGGTGAGATTCTTGGCCCTGCCACTGACTATGGCACTGTAGACAAATGACCCGGCTTCTCTGCACTCAAAATGTACATCTTTATAAAATGTTTGTAGCAGGGCCTGTTTTGTGGGATTGTGATGCCAAATAGAGATGCTGCGTGTCTAACCCCATAGTGGGTGATCTGGCCCTCGTGAGGCTGTATTAGATAATCATTATAATTGTACAGAATTATTGTTGTGCCAATGAATTCGTTCCGACTCACAGCGACTCTGAACAGCAGAATGAAACCCTGACTGGTCTTGTGCCATCTTCAAAAGCCACTGCTGTTTGAGCCCCTTGTTGCCGCCACCATGTCAATCCATCTCCTTGCTTGACTTTATCAAACATGATGTTCTTCTTCAGGGACCTGTCTCTCCTGATAACATGTCCAACGTACATGAGACAAGGTCTCTCCATTCACCTTTCTAAGGAGCATTGTGGCTGTACTTCATTCTCCTGGCAATC